CATAAAACCAAAAATGTCAAACTCTGGGACTCAGAGGTGATCTCAACACAAAGGCATGTTAATTGAAACTTTTACCATTAACCAACTTTAAGCACTGTAGCAAATTACATTTTGCATTTAGCTGCCCAAAGTCAACCACTTCAGTTGCTATTCTAGCTTACCACAAGCCAAATAAGTAAAAGTACCAACTTTAGAAGCGGGAATACTGCGCCAGTGAGGTCAGCTATTGTCAGTGTCAGTCCTGCTGTGAAGATTGAAATTTAATTTCTTTTAATATTTTAATAGCCATCTTAACAAAAGGGAAAGGAGTTTTATATCCATCAGTGAACGTTAAATCCATTAAGAAACACAGATAAGAGGGGCAAGAGTACTTTAGCCATTTGCACGATTGTGTCAAAACAAACGAGAAACCCACCGAAAATTAAAAACCTGGGTAGCAAATCCAGATGTAAATAAAAGCCAAAGATACCCTAAAACAAATCCTAAACGCATCATATATGCTTACGAGAATCACAGATTTAAAATGATAAATATGGCCAAATGACTAACAATTTCACAACCTTCACCCAGGCTAAATGCCCTGTCACATTTAAACACAGAGACCAATGTCCAGCTTAACAGAGGTTTCCAGCTGTGATGTTAGTGTGGTATTCATACGTGCCGCTTTGACAGATCCACCATCTTTCAAACATGCTGGGTGACAGCAAAGCTGCGCTGTCGGACCAACTAGCAGCTAGCTACGATAAGTAGCAGGGGAGCCATCTACCTCACGTTACTCCACCGAACTGGTTCCAGTGCTCTTAACCAGTGCAGCTAGACCATGTTAGTGACCAGTGGCCCGAAGGCTTTACAAATTAAGAAGGATACATGTTAAGTCCAGGTCGAAACCATCCTCTTGGTATCTCCTTTTGTTCCGACTGACCATTTCTTTTATAATCGACGACATTGTAGCAGGTGACAGGAGTCTATATGGGGTAATCTAGTATTGGCGGTTTGGCCGATTATGTCGCAGTCACTGGGTCTGCTCTCGGTGGCTCACGGCTGAATTTTCCAGGTCCTGACAGAGAAGTGCTAGCCAGCAGTAGCGGTGGCTGTCGGTAGGATTAGAAAGGCTTCCTCTGGATCATAAAGACGGGCCTTGCTCTGCTCCTCCGCGGAGGCCCGACTTTCCCAATCCTGCAATTCGTTTTGCAAACACCCCCGGATAAAATACATGCAGGTGTCCTTAGAGGAAAATACTTCAGAATGCTGTGAAATGTCCAAGCTGAAGGCTCAATGGCAGCTGCCGCGATTGACAGCAAGAAGACAGAGAACTCACCGGTTCTCTAAACCCGTATCCAGTCACTAAGACGTAGCTAGCTCGCTAGCTAACTAGCTAGCTAGCACAGCTAGCTAGCAACAATAGCTAATGCTACCTCCTTTTTCGATCCAAATGCCCCCTAACGATTTAACATTGTCATCGACTGATTGCCAGGAACACATCTGAAAAAAAGTGACAGGCTCCACCTTCGATGTATAGAGACTATACAAAGTTCAGAAATGTGTACAGGCTGATTTGACAGTTCCGTCCCGGGAAATCATCTTCTTTTCTCGCTCCTCTAGCTCCAGCTGAACTCTCAGGCTCCCATCATGGCCTCCACAGAAGGAAAAAAAGAAGGTAGAGCAGGCTGGGATTTTAGAGTACGTATCACGCCGCCTTCATCGTTATAGTCCCACAGCTTAATGAAACCTGACAAACGCACACGTCTCTAATATGCTTCTACTAATTAAGAATACGCGCTGAAAAGCAAAATGCCTACACGAGTAATCGTTCTGACCCCGAAAAGCGAGATAATAGAATTATTTCGTGCTTGTGGCGGAAGGATAAAATGTGTTCGCTTACGACGCTCCCTTCTGTCAGTGATCACGTGTGATGTAATTAGGGAAGTTTCCAACATAATGTCACTTTTCGCGGTTTAAACTGTCATTTCGGGTATGGCAAGTATATCAGTGCAAACTGCCGACCACGAGTTTGCACTGCATTTGCTTTTACAGAGGAAATGCTTATGTGTTGACAATATCTCCATCGGTTCCTTTGTTTTTTCAGTCTTCTCAAAGCAAGTAATTTATACCCAGGTTAATTGCATGATCATGCACTTTGTCTGCAATGACGAACACCACCATAAATAAATAAATAAATGAACAGGATTAAATCTGCATGATATAATTGCGGACATAATAAACACAGGTGTGCGCAAACTGTGAAGTTAAATTCACAGTTAAATTTAGGGTGCATCCTTCACAATATCGTGTACAGTAGTTATTTATTGTATTTAGAGTTAGAGATGAAACGCTCGATCAATAATCCATAGTAAGGAGGGAAATCCAGCCAGGATTTTCTGCTGGTTCCGCTTGGTGAAATGTCACATACAGGCCTATTTACTGGGTTGTTATTCACAATAATGGCTTTGAACAAACAAACAAAATCAAGTTGTCATCTGGGACATTCCGCGCTTGTGTGTGTGTGTGTGTGAAAATACAATCAGACGACTAATGAACAACAAAAACAGCAGCTCAATATGTGATGTATTTCATTCATACCAACAGAAGCCACCTTACCTCACTGTGTTTTAAATTTCATGAAAGCTAGAGACAGTTAAATGGATTCTTTGGTCACAGAATACAACACCCATAAAATGATCACTTAATGTAAGACTGTGTGTCAACATCAGTCAGCATCTGGAAACAAGGAGGCTGGGCTTAGTCCATGTAACCTGACAGCTGTGCAGCTGATAGTCATTTTAAATTAGCAGCCTTGCAATGCGGAACATCTGAGTGGGAATGTGACTTCTGCTCTTAGAGTAGTGCATCCGATTTGGAGTGTTACTGCAGCCTGTATTTAGGAATATGCAGGTCTGTAGGACACCGGAGATTTACATGTGGTCATTTCTCAGTGACATGACATGCTGGGTGTAGAGTAGTTGGGAGATTTTATAAAGTAGTGAGGGTACAGTTCAGCAGATTTAAATGGGTTTACCTGGAACATCGCAGATTAAATGATCTGATCCCACGTAAGGCTAATTAGGAATCTCCTTCTTACAGCGAAGACTAGTTCTCCCCACTGAAGAGCACTTATCTTGTAGCGCTGTAAGCCCTCGCAGCTTAATGAGAAGCGAAATGAATCAGTCCTCCAACTTCGCTCAACCATCTCTTAAGTGTAATTTGAAAGCGTCTCATGTTCTCCTTAATCTGTTATAGAAGATCTAGTTAGCAGAGTCAATCCAGAGCCAAAACCTGAGCTCTCTTAATGCACAAAGTGACAGTGTGACTGTTGTTAGTCCGGTTTATTCCTATAAAAAGAATAGCTGGAAGTTTTAGGATAACATGCAGGGATAATTGACTGTCTTTGTGTCCATCTCAGTAAGTAAATACAATATGCTGTCACTGAGTTTAGCTGTTAAGGCGGAAACCAAAACTCGATTGTGCCCTTTTACACACATTTACGTTTTTTTCTCGCCTCTCCACATTTCTGCCAGCAGATGGCGGCATTGCACTTTTGGCTTCGCAGCTCCGGCCGCACCTGGTACCGGACTTTTTTATACCCCCTCACCCCACCCCCAATCCGTTAAATGGAGTTATCCGGCAGACCTTTAACCTTATACAGCACTGATAAACATGCACTCTGTACAGACAGAAGAGGTAAGTATTGTTGCACAACCAGGGCCACACAGTCACAGTCGGGCCAGAGGTACTGCAGAAAACATTTAAATCATCTTGTTCAAAGTACATATCATCTCTGTGCAATGTAGTCGCTAAATAGTCATATAACAAATAAGTGTTTTTATTATTTCATTTTACATTTATTTTCCTACGACCAAAGATCCTATAATATGAATGCATATGCACAATTTATGAAGTCACAGAAATCTTAAAGACAAAAAACAACAACAAAAAAAATTCAGTTTTATAGGACTGAAATTTAACACAAAGACACATTATATATATATAAATTCCTGTAGTACTTCATAATAATATGAAAGATTAACATGAGGGATTAACACAATGACATCTATAACATGTAGGCACTGTGTGCAATGATAAGACTACGGCTTTCATTCAGGTGATACAAATACAGTGATACAGTTGTCATGTTAAAAAGGTGATAAAAACTTCAATGTGCATGTTTTTTGTCGTGCGCCCTTCAGTGTCTCATGTATGCATATATATAAAGATTTCCTTGTCTTGGAATGTGCTCCTATGTGTACAGTCATACAAAAAATTCAAGTTAGATTTAATTTATTAAAACACATAGCTTAAGGTAATATGCATATAATCACAAAATCTCCCCATTGTTTTACAGGAATGAGATTCATATTTTTGATTTGGTGAAGATAAAACTCCCACCGCTGCAGTTTGCACCAATAAAAATCCATCCCACCTTAAATAATCCTAAAGAATAAACTGGATCGTTGCTCATGAGCTTGCTGATTAGTTTTTCTTCTGAAGAGAGGTGTAGTACTCGACCAACACCCTCCAGGCTTTGGGGGCCATAAAACCATCTGGAGGGTACTCTCCGCTCCGAGCCAAGCTCCTCATCATGGTGCCAGAAATGAACTGAAACTCGTCGTGTCTGAGAAATTGTAGAAGAATGGAGGAAAGGGAGTATACAGTGGCAAGGACAGGTTATTAGAAATCAAAATTTGTAAATTCTATAATAGCGCCGTGATTAGATCTCGACTCAAATACCAACTACGACACAAACACATATAAACGCACAAGCCTAATAATTTACAATCTAATTTTTGTGAAATTTTTAGTTTGGCAATGAACTTTTTGCTTTTAATTCAGTTTAGTTTAAGTTCCAGAGTGAGTTTTTAATATTAAGTATTTAATATTTACTTAATAATGTTTAGTTTTAGTTTAAGTTTATTGGTTTCAGTCTTAGTTGTTATTAATTATTGCTGTATGGACGACATGTGTCAGAGGTGAGAGTTAGAAAAAATTAGAACAGGTATTACAATAAAAACACAACTATTAGAAAGTGGTTGTCTACAAGATGTCCCTTGTATTTTTTTTTCCAAGTCTAGTTTCTATTTTAGTTAATTAAAATGGTTTTTAACCATCTAGTTTTAGTTTTTACTTTAGTTTTAGTTAACTATAATAGCCTTGTTATAGCTCTAGGTGAATGTATGCGTATATTTATAATTGTCTGTCATTTCATATACGGGCCATTAGCTTGTGAAAGGAAGCTGAATATTGCAGTCATCCATTAGATATGAAGGAGGGATAGAATTATATTTTTCAGCAAATTTTTGAGATGCTTATATACAATCAAGCATCAGGTTTTGTATTTTGTTTTAGTAGTGTTTGCTAACTTCAGATTACTTCAGGTGGTTAGTAGGGGAGTCACTGACCGGTCTTTAGGCTGGTGTGAACGGAGCTTTAGCAGTTAATTTTGCATTTCTAGAAGTATGCGACCCCTTGAGGTTCAATATTGACTGCAACTTACAAGAAAAACCTGCAGATCTTTCATCACTCACCGGTCTTTGTCATAGAAGTCCATAGCCTTCTTAGTTTTGTTGTAGGCAGCTACCCTGAAGGGAATGATCTCTACAGAGGTGAGACCTGGGGCCATGGACAGCACTTTTCCACCGTGGGTGGGCTCATACAAGTCCTTTTTAGTCTCTGGGTGAGGCATACCTGCAGGATCCCGGCCGACAATGTAAAAGTTTGCTCCGGCGATCATTCTGGCTCTGCAGTGCCACTGAACCTGAAAGACATTGAAGCTGATATCACATGCACCCATATTTTTTAAAACCTTTGAGTGAGCCATAAGCCACCGCTGCTGCTCACCTCTGTAGGTCCAGCATACATCATAGGGGAAGGGAAGATGGCAACAATGGTGCTAGCTGGGTCCAACACGCCCTCCTCCAGGACAGCATCATGTTGCCTCATCCTCCACTGCAGAGGTACATCGTCGTCTTTGGTCCAACCACCGAGCGGGTGAAGTAAGAGGACTGGATTTTTGTATCCTCGCTCCAGCAGTCGCCGCTTGGTGTCCTGCATGAGCAGGGCGTGACCATTGTGGATCGGGTTACGCAGCTGGAATGCAAACACCGCATCTAAAGACAGAGGAGCATATAATAAAATTAACATACAATAGACACACGTGCTTCATGATCATGCCTTCCAAAATATTTGTCACAGCCAACATGCGAACCATGCCTTTAACAGAACTCAAATACACCCTGATCATAGTGTTTAAATTCACTTTTATCAGAACAAAAGCAACAAAAATGTTGGTGGTGTGTGACGACAGACAGATGCATAGAATTTTATATTTTTCTTACTGTCAACAAATCCCATTATACCTAAAAACCAACAATACTGTCCACTCACATTTTCTCCTCCTTCTATATCTATCTATACAAATATATATAAAACGTAGTTTAACAGTGGGTTTAACATAAAATGTAGCTATACTTTCACACACTTACAAGATCTGCATTACTTGTTAGTTATGTTAATCTGATGTTTCATAACTAGTCCTATAGGGCTTTGCTATTGAAGAAGACTTAATGCTTCCCACTTTGACCACATATTCAGCATTTTTTTAAGCTTTTGCACTGGGTGACATTACAAGCATAAAAGAAATAGCAT